AAAAAAAACTTATACAGGCTCAATGGCACTTAACACCACCACCACAATGCACACAGGATAGTGTGAATGTAACTTTTATATACACTGGGAAATCAAAACATTTGTACAACTTGTTATGATGAGCCCGCAATACAGGATCTGCCTGTAAAAAAATTTGGAATGAAGGGAGATGAAAGATGGGGTGGAGAGAGAAGATAGGTAAACACAACAGAACAGCTCCTAACCATGGCCTGAAATGGAAACCCCAAGTGGTTAGGCTTTTTTTAGAAAATTATCAGGCTTGCTACTGTTGGTTACAGAGGTTCGCTTGGATTGCTATGAGATTTCAAGTAATGGAGATTGGTAGGGCAGCTTCTAGTTGGAAGCAGCTCTGAAAACTACAAACGTGTGAGTCTGTCCAACACTGTACTTGCCGGGCCTGCAGAGGCCTGATCGTGTACCCAGGACATTCAGAGCCTTTGGAGGGAAGACAGGAGGAAAGGAAACAGTAAAGGTGGTCCTTCAGAAATAATTTTAACTTAAAATATGTAATCTATCTATCTTAACTTTTTATTGTGAATTGATTGATGGCTTATAGATCAGATAATCAGTTTTAAATTCAACAAATTACATACTTTGCTTCACTACAACTATTGCAACCCCCTCCATGTGCCATCAGTTCACAGTATTTCCCTCTATTCACTTTAACTTTTGCATTCCTCCCTTTGTCTCCTGCTACTTTCATCTTTCTTGTGCCAACCTCCCTCTTGTTGTATATTGCCTACCCCATCACCAATGTTAACTTGTGTCTACCATGTAGATCGTTGAATAATTTTCTCTTTCTATGATGATAATACTTTTCCCATTCTATGATAGTTACCAGGTAAGTTATGCATATGAAAGTTGGACAATGAATGAGAAAGACCTTAGAAAATAAGGCAATTGAAAATACCATGGCTTGGCTTGAGTCAGGCATCTTAGTCCTCAAACTGTATCTTTGCTCTTGAACACTTTAAACAGGTCTTGTACAGCAGATTTGCCTAATGCAGTATGTCGTCTGATTTCTTGATTGCTGTTTCTGTGTGTTGATTGTGGATCCAAGTAAAATGAAGACTTTGACAAATTCAGTCTTTTCTCTGTTTATCATGATGTTATTTGTAAATTGGTCTAGTTGTGAGGATTTTTATTTTGTTTACACTGAGGTACAATCCTACTGAAGGCTGTGGTCTTTGATCTTGATAAGTATATATTTTAATACCTCTTTGCATCCAGCAAGCAACGTTGAGGCATCTGCATATCTCAGGTTGTTAATGAGTCTTCCGCCAAACCTGATGCTGCATTCTTCATCATATAATCCAGTTTCTCTGGATTGAGTAAGCATGGTGAAAGAATACAGCCTTGGTGCACACTGGTCCTGATTTTAAGATATTCAGTATCTTCCCCTTGTTCTGTTCTAATGATTGCTTCTTCTTCTTCTTCTTTTTTTTTTTTTAAATGTATTTTTCTTTAAGTTTTTATTTTGGATTGAGTAAAAGTTTACAGGGCAGATCATCAGTTTTACATTCAACAAATAATACAACTTGTTTCATTACAATGGTTACAATCCCCTCCATGTACCATCAGTTAACAGTATTTATC